CCTGCCAAAAGCTAGGATTATAGGTGCACGCCACCATGCCTAGTGTCAATTGCCATCTCAGCACACCCCAGGGGTGGGGCTGGCAAGGCAGGCCTGGGAATCAAATCCCCGACCCCTGCAACTGCTTGCGGGTGCTTTAATCCACTGAGCTATTTGGCTGGCCCAAGAATGCTTCTTTTAATTCACATTTCTGCCTTGCCTTTCAAACACCCAGGAATATTTGAAAAATAGTCATATCTTTCCTGTCCAATTGACACATGACTGAAACATTTAGATTACTATGATTTTAAAGAGGCAGGAGAATCTTACACCCTTTTGTACTGCTAATGTGTACACATTTCAGTAGCTCACCTAAAGTAGGGATAGTGAGCTTGCTATGAATACTTTTTTTTTAAACATTGAAAAAATTGTATCTAAGGGCTAAAACTGAATTTGGTAATACGTACAAATTAATTTACGTACTTTTTGTATATCTGTAGATATTATGGTCGAAAGATGCTTTTCCTCATGATGTGTCATCCTAACTTTGAAAAACTGCTTGAAAAATATGTCCCATCTAAAGATTTGCCATATATTAAGGAATCGCTTAAAAACTTACGGCAAAAGGTATGTGGAATTTTTTTTCTTTTAAAGAGAAAAACAGGGGGCCTGCCCCTTCGTTCAGTTCTTTAAGTGGCTGCTTCAACAAAGCAAAAAATAATAATAAAATAATTTTTTAAAAAAATTTAAAAATTAAAAATCAGAGCGTCTCCTGGAGCTTGAGCAACAGCCCGCGGTTATTTATGTGTGTGTGTGTGGCCAGCTCAGCCCACCAGGGGGCGCGGCTGGCTGGCATGTAGTACTGGGGGATTGAACCGTGGTCCCTGTGCTTGGCTAAGCTTGTTCTAAATAGGTGCTGTAGACCACTGAGCCATCTCACCAGCCCCCCCTAAAAGTCTTCCCCTCACTGTGAGCACACTGAGCCCATGTGTGTGTGGCAACTTGTCTTTCACCGTTTTGTTTGTTTTAACATAAACATTCGCTGTATTTCACAGGGCTTGGGAGAGATGCCACCAGATCCTCCTTCAGCAAAGGGAAGGCGATCTCACGCCGGCAGTGTTGGGAACGCGAGGGCATCCTCTGTTTCTAGAGATGCCTTTGGCTCAGCTGAGAGGTGAGCTCAGGCGGTAGTTCACTGCACTAGAGTTGAGTCCTTAGGCATAGAAGTCTCCTGGGGGTGTTTTCATGACACACACCCCCTTGGGATATTTTTCAAAATTACATGAGTTTATTTCTTAAAGGCCTAAAAAGTGTGTCTAATGCCAACAACCAGAAAAATTACTCTTCTTTGAATTCTCACTTATTAATGTATATGTAATTTTGTAACTTGTTTAAACTATTTAACAGCTTTAATAAATGGATTATCTTACAATTTTTAAACATCTTTGAATGAATTGTTATGATGTTAGGTATTTATTTTTAAACAGTATTTTAGCCAGGTCTGGTGACACACACCTGTTGTCCTAGCAGTCAGGAGACTGAGGCAGGAGTATAACAGAGTTCGAGGCCAGCTTAGACTATACAGCGAGACCATGTCTCTGGGGCCGGGGAGAGCGCTCAGTGGAATAAGCGCTTCCCTGGCAAGCGCAAGGGCCTGAGTTCAATC